TCCTACTGATTTGGTGCTAAAGAAACATTTCTTATTATTATGAATGTTTATTATTGATATTTCTTCACAAACAAATGTACATTTATTAGGAGAGATAATCAATAAAAGTGACATTGATCATTTTTAATGTAATTTTATACATTTTGTTTCTCATATCTTGATCGTTATTTCTAGTAAATTGATGTTAAATTATTGACGTCAATTTGATTAAAAATAAAAAGAATAAAAGGTGATATAAAACATTCTACAATTCTGACTGATACTGATAAACTAATGTTATGGCTGATAACTGATGAATGACCAATGTTACAATTCTATATATATCCCCAGGATTCTTTGATGTACATAAAGTATGAATAGCATTTATTTACTGTCACTTTTGATCAGTTTAAAAGTATTAATTTTACTTCAAAAATGAAATGAAATTAACAAACTTTTGACATACATCATGCATCCCTAATTTGTATCTGCCTTGTATCAGACTGCCTTGGTATTGTATATCTCAGTGCCAAATCAGTGTGTAATACAGGCAAATTAATACATTCATGTAGTGGTGACGTCACAACTTGCCCACCTTCTGTCTCCTCAATCTAAATCTTGTTCCACACTGCTGGGCTCTCATCTCTCACTGTGTTCTTTAGCTAGAACAGCCCTCTGTGTTTAAACTCTGATTCACCTTTTTATATTTCTTGCCACCTCACATCCCATTAAGAGACGAGATGACATGCTTAATTTTCTTAAAGGCCTGTTTCAGGTTGTCCTGCCAATTCTAGGAAGATGGTGGAACGGGTCAGAAAGAGTGTGCTTTTTGGAGTCCCCCAAAAGGCCCAGAAGAGCCCAGATTGTGGCATGCTATCTGTCCTTTCAGTTTATTTAGATGGAGTGGACTGATTAACTTTGTGTGATCTTTAGAACAAAGGCTCCCATTCTTCAGCCTGTGCATTGTTTGGCAGTTAGCTATGTTGTTCCCAGAGTTTTCTGCTGATGTCACAACCCATAGCATATTGGCGTAGCCGGCAGTCTGAGAAAGAGCTGAAGTATAAGAGGAACAATGTGCCGTAATAAAATGCTCTACATAGATCAGCTGCTGTCCTCTCATTGTTTCAATAACCCCTGTCTGCATTCTTTAGGATGTAGAAAAGGTGGAGGAAATCAGTTGGTTAGAGCTGTTAACCTTAATAGGCACTGAATGGTATTTAAACATGCCCCTGAGTCCTGGATGAGCTCTTACTCTGGTTATATGCCTTATCGCACTGCCCACTTCAGTTATTAAAGGCCTTGTTTCTTTCTTTGTTTTTCTCTCTCCTCTCTTTCCTGTTGATATTCTACTGATACAGATACAGTCTCAGAATTGTTCTCAGATTCTTAGAAACTATTCATCTGTGACTTAGACTCAAATTGGTCTGCTGTTGCTATAGATGTGCAGATGTGCTGTATGTGTGTATTATTATATTTATAAACATATATATACTTGTATACTATATTCTACCATTCTACAACCAAGTTTGGGGTACTTTTTTGGCATTGAATTGATTAAATAAATCCATTTATAATGTAAGATTTTCCCCATATATATGTTAATAAGAAAAGTTTCTCGAGCAGCAAATCAACATATTAAAATGACATCATAGGGATATATTATATATTAAAATGTATAGAGGTATTAATAATATTTCACAATATGATATACTGATCCCAAACTTTTGAAATTTTGAATAAGTGTGTATTATCTAAAAAGTATTATTATATAATAATTTATTTTATTTTATTTTACACAACATTTTCTATATTAAAACAAAAATATTTTACCATTTTAAAAAGCTTAAATATTGGACAGATTTTGTTGCCATTTAGAGGTTTAGGAGAAAATAAAATCTAATGGGCTTTTTACCCTGAGATTAAGAACTTCTTAAATTTCCTATCCTTTTCGGGTGTGATGTATTTCATAATAGCTGCCAGTAGGTAGCACATGCATAATTATTTTGGTGATATTGTCAGCATATTAAGAACCACTCCAGATATCGAGCAGACTGTTCTAACCCCAGGCTTACTATATCTTTGTCCCTTCAACATCCCTGTATTCCTTAATGACTTGAGTTGATGTGTTGTGAGTTGAAAGGTAGCCAAAAAGACATGCTTGCTAAAAATCTACTCATTATTCGATGCCTAGAAAGAGCAAGAATTCTCCTTCTCCCCACATTAGTAGTCTAGACGCCCCAGAGGCAAGGGAATGAAGATAGCTGACAAATTCCTGACATGAGGATTCTGACATGAGCAGCAAGAATGTCTATTCAGTAGTTAATCTTAATATGCATTTAATGAGAACAATAAACGTGACCTGCCACGGGACCTGCCCGCAGACTCTCACCTCTAGTGAATATTCCACATGTTTGGAGACGCCGCGGTACACACAGGCGACAAAACTGAAGCCAGAATAGACATAATTATCAGAGCTCTGCATGCATAGTGCATATATCATATCACCGATGCTTTGATTTTGCATTCACGAAGGATGCGAAGAGTTGATTGCATTGTCTGTCGTGTTAATCTCATTCGCATGTCTCTTCTTCTCTTCCTCCAGCATATGTTTGATTGAGAGCTCCCAGAGGACGTCCCGCAACCGAAAGAGAGCTTGTGCAGCCCAACGGCTGCAATCTACGGCAACTGCATTGCAGCAAGCACTTCCATGGCATCCTATAGCAATTGCATGACCTTTTTGTGTTTTCCAAAGCGGCAACGAGGTGTCTGTTGCTTAGTAGATAAGTCCCGGGGCTCTTAGGGCTTAATGAATCGATGTTGCCGGATCGCTGATGGGTCTGATGAATCCTCACCCCTGAATCTCAGGATACAATCGGCCTCGTGCTCTCAGATAGAGGAGCTCACGTTGATTAGTGATACCGGGGCTCTCAATGTCTCACTGATAACAGCAGAAGGTACCTGTGTCTTGACAAGCCACTCTTTGTGTAATGGTGTGGATCGAATGCTGCCGCTATTCACAGACATAAATAGGTAGAGTGGAATTAAGAAGCACAGGAGTTAAAGGAACACTCCACTATTTTTGAAAATAGGCTCATTTTCCAACTCCCCTAGAGTTAAACAGTTGAGTTTTACCGTTTTCGAATCCATTCAGCCGATCTCCGGGTCTGGCGGTAGCACTTTTAGCTGCAGCTTAGCATAGATCATTGAATCTGATTAGACCGTTAGCATCTCGCTCAAAAATGACCAAAGAGTTTTGATATTTTTCCTATTTAAAACTTGACTCTTCTGTAGTTACATCGTGTACTAAGACCAACGGGGAAATTAAAAGTTGCGATTTTCTAGAACGCAGCGCCTGAAAATAGGCTAACTTCCGTCAACATAACCAACGTGACCACCTGCTTGCACAGGGAGCGTGCTAGGGACTATTTTCAGGCACTTCGTCATATCATTGCGCCTGCTGTCATACTGTCTAATGTCATACGATAGCTTTATGTAAGAAATAGAAAGAATTATTGCTAAAAATGTAAACATTATTCACTGAAAATCTTTAATAGATTGAAATTTAAGCATTATTCATTTGTATAATTATACATTGAAAAACTTCACACAAAAGATCAAAATTTAAATCTTTATTCACTGAAACACTTTAATAGATCAAAATGTAAAGATTTTTCACTAAAACTTTGAATAATAAACCAAAATTTAAATCACTACTCATTAAAATCTTCACAGAATAGATTAAAATTTAGATCATTATTCATGGAAAATCTTTTCACAAGAGATTAACATTGAAATCATTATTTACTTGAAAATAAATCTAAATTTAAATCCTTATTCACTGAAAATTTCACATTCATTCCAGTTGTTCTTGACACGCTCATGAACTCATACCAGCAATATTCAATTTGTGAATCTTTTCTATGAATCGTTCTTTAAAATGAGAGATTCTGTCTCCAGTTCAACTGTTTGACTCCAGTCCCAACACTTAGCACGTACATTTTGGTCTGTGCCTCACACAGAAATATCATATGACTCGCATGGAATATATGTTCGGTGGACTACTTTTATGAACCTTTTTCATATTTTTAAATTCCTCATTCACTTCCATTACACTGAAAACATTTTCACCTTTTATGTTCCATGGAAGAATGACAGTCAGGTTTGGAGTGACATGAGTGTTAGTAAATAATAATAACATTTTCAGTTTTTGGGTGAACTGTCCATTTAAATGTAAATCAGTCACTTTTAAGATTATGGAAATATGTCATTAGCCACGGATTAAGAGTCTCCATTCTCTACTCCTCACTGCCATTTTTGTGTCAACAGATTTCTCTGTATTGATGTTCAGGACTAGTTGAGTTTGGATAATGTCCCTGTTCTGTATTTCAGCCCTCTGTTGATGGTGCCAAACACTAATGCTCTTATAGCTATGACTTGCATCATGCTATAAGGCTTTGACGGCCAGTTCTTCTGTGAAAATAAATGATTGAGGGAGGAACAAAACAGACTCCCATGATACACTACTGAGCCCTGTGGTCCTGCGCTCCTCAGATTTACTGCCCGTACTGACACTTCATCACTTTACCCCCTCTGTGTGTGGATATGTAGTTATTGCACAGTGGGACTGCCAGGAGTTACCGTCACACTCTGAGAGACATAAACACACACATGATTTGTTCGAGTTCAAGATGCCATCAGTTGTCTCTAACCAGTGTGGATCCCAGAGCTGCTCTGTTAAAATTGTATGAGTAAAATAATTTTGCTTTGGTTGATTGTACTGCTGTGTTCATAAATCAAACATGTTCTTCCCTGCCCTATGATGATACTTTGTGCAATGACAGAGTGGCTCAATAAAACCGTACCTGCGTTCACAGACGGCTGTGTAATTTGTGATATGGTGCTGGGTTTGTATGTTTCTTCAGAGGACAATATTTTTGGATCTATAGACATGTGGGACTGTATATGTGCAACAACGTTAATTCTTTCTTTTTCTGTCTCTCTGTTCATCTCTCATAATCCAGTGGATCAGTTTGTCTGCACAACTTCTGCTATTGCGGATATTGTCATCCTGGTCGATGGATCTTGGAGTATTGGGCGAATCAATTTCCGTCTGGTTCGCATGTTCCTTGAAAACCTGGTCAGTGCCTTCGATGTGGGAATAGACAAAACCCGGATTGGTGGGTTCCATTAATTAATTCTTATTCACTTGTAATAATTGGTCTGACCTAAAAATAGATGTATAGTAAGTGGATCATATATTAATTTAGACAGCTATAAAGTGCTTTTCAATTTAGATCTGATGTATAAAGTGTCAGTGTGTTCCCTGGATGCGTTTTTTATGTTTTAGGACTGGCCCAGTACAGCGGGGATCCACGAATTGAGTGGCACTTGAATGGCTTCAGCACAAAAGATGCAGTAATAGATGCTGTCAAAAACCTGCCATACAAGGGAGGCAACACTCTCACAGGTAATGTACTGTGCTTTTCCAGACCTTTTCCATTGTTCCAGAGACACGGATATACTGTGCCTGGTCAAAGTGTTAATAACCAGTCTGATCCTTGTACAAAAGTACAAATCTAAAGTACAAAAAATCATTTACTGTAAGGCATAACAATAAAAACTAAATTGGTATTTCACTTTAGTGTGCAGTTTTTCAGTGCAGAACCTGCATTTTATTCGCTAACCACCCAGTCTAACATGATCAGGCATTATAGGTGCTATTTATTGTAGCAGTGCAAATTCATATATCATAATTGCACCTTTATGTCTCACAGTTGTGACTTACTTTCCCATAATTGCAGTTTTATTTCTCAAAATTGTGACTTGTGTTCTCATAATTGATTTTGTATCTCAAAATTGTGAATTACTTTCTCGTAATTGTGATTGTATTTCTCACAATTGTGACTTTATTTCACATAATTGTGCTTTTATGTCTCACAACTGGGATTTGCTTTCTCATAATTGTGATTTTATTTCTCACAATTGTGACTTTATTTCTCGTAATTGTGACTTAATGTCTCACAATTTGATTTGCTTTCTCGTAATTGCGATTTTATTTCTCACAATTGTGCATTTATTTCTCGTAATTGTGACTTAATGTCTCACAATTTGATTTGCTTTCTCGTAATTGCGATTTTATTTCTCACAATTGTGCATTTATTTCTCGTAATTGTGACTTAATGTCTCACAATTTGATTTGCTTTCTCGTAATTGCGATTTTATTTCTCACAATTGTGCATTTATTTCTCGTAATTGTGACTTAATGTCTCACAATTTGATTTGCTTTCTTGTTATTGCGATTTTATTTCTCACAATTGTGACTTGCTTTCTCGTAATTGTGATTTTGTAAAATGTTTGTATTATATTACTCACAATTGTGACTTTATTTTTTGTAATTATGACCATTTTTTGTAATTGTGATTGTATATCTCAAAATACTTTCTCATAATTGCGACTTTATTTCTTGTAATTGCGATTTTGTATCTCACAATTGTGACTCTCATAATTACAGTTTTATTTCTCATAAATGTGTCTGTTAAAATGTAAACTTTTTTTTTTTGCGATTTTATTTCTTGTACTATAATCGTGACTTCATTTTTTGAAATTGCAACTGTGCAATTGTGACTTACTTTCTGATAATTGCAGTTTTATTTCTCACAATTGCGACTTTATTTCTTGGAGTTCTGACATTAGGGAATTAAGGGAAGTCGTGGCCTAATGGTTAGAGAGTTGGACTTGTAACCCAAAGGTTGCGGGTTCGAGTCTCATACTGGCAGGGATTGTAGGTGGGGGCAGTGAATGTAAAGCGCTCTCTTCACCTTCAATACCACGACTGAGGTGCCCTTGAGCAAGGCACCGAACCCCCAACTGCTCCCCGGGTGCCGCAGCATAAATGGCTGCCCACTGCTCTGGGTGTGTGTTCACAGTGTGTGTGTGTTCACTGCTGTGTGTGTGCACTTAGTTAAATGCAGAGCTCTAATTCCTAGTATGGGTCACGTCACTTTTTTTTAATTTTATTTTTTTTATTAATTATATCTCACAGTTGTGACTACTACTCATAATTTCATTTTTTTATTCACTGCTGTGTGTGTGCACTTAGTTAAATGCAGAGCTCTAATTCCTAGTATGGGTCACGTCACTTTTTTTTTATTTTATTTTTTTTATTAATTATATCTCACAGTTGTGACTACTACTCATAATTTCATTTTTTTTAAATTTTCATTTTTTACTTCTCATAATTGCAACTTTATAGGTCACAATTGCTTTTTTTTCTTGTATTTGCGTATTTGAAACTCTTTCATTTCATGTTTTGGTCTGTCTAGGTCTTGCTCTTACCTACATCCTGGAGAACAGCTTCAAACCTGAGTCTGGGGCTCGTAGCAATGTTCCCAAAATTGGAATTCTGATAACTGACGGCAAATCCCAGGATGATGTTATCCCACCTGCTCAGACCCTGAGAAGTGCTGGAGTCGAGTTATTTGCCATTGGTATTAGAAGATTCCTTAATGCATCTTTGTGTAAACTAGTTCATCCAGTTTAATATATGCAGTATGTAGAAAAAGTATCCAGCTAGTGAAAAATAAACAAAGCTTTTCAGAAGTCATTTATGAATTTTATCGCTAATAAGTATTTACAAAATCTTCCAAAAGATTGTAAACTGTCAACACAGACACATTATCAACACAAGCTATTTATTATAGATATTCCAGAAGCATGGAATATGAGCTGTGTGAAAATGGTTGTGCGTAGGTGTGAAGAATGCTGATGAGAACGAGCTGAAGGCCATCGCCTCTGAACCAGAGGAAACACACGTTTATAATGTGGCAGACTTCAGTATCATGAGCACTATAGTCGACGGCCTGACCAATAAGGTGTGTGATGGAGTGGAGCAACAAGACAAAGAAATTAAACGTGAGTGTTTTAATTGCTGTTTAAACTTAGATACAGTATGTGATGTGTGGAAGGGATCTAAAGCCTCATGATTTCCTCATGATTGACAGGAGATTCTTCCACTGAAGAGACGGCGTCTCCACCCCAAGACTTGGTCACTTCTGAGGTGACTGCACACAGTTTTCGAGTGACCTGGACTCATACGCCTGGCAGTGTGGAAAAATATCGAGTTGTTTACCATCCAACCGGGGCAGATATTCTGGAAGAGGTGACCAATCAGAGCAACTTTCAAATATGCTACTCAACTATTAGCAATGCCACAAAACATCCACTAAGTTTATCCGAAACCAAACCTTCCACCTAAAAGCCACTTAAAGGCATAGTTCACCCAAAATCATTTATCATTTACTTATCCTCAAATCATTCCAAACCTGTATGAATTTCTTTCTTCTGTAGAACACAAAATACCCATATAATGAAAGTCTATGAGGTCCGAAACCACATTCAACCCCACTGACTTACATTGTATGGCCACATTTGACCAAAATGTCTTTTGGAAGATACAATAGATGCCCTTATTGTCAGAGGTCCTACTACATAAGTCAGCTGATGTTCACCAGATGTTTTAGAAGTCATTCTTGTGCTTTCTTTCTTTAAAATAAACTCTGATTGGTTTGATATTTTGATATCTAGAGCAATGACAGTCTTACATTTTTAACTGTGGCTTAAATGTCAAAATACTTTTTAGTGCCTCTTTTATCTTTTGTTCTATTTCCTATTTTTCTATTTTCTATTCTATTTTCTATTTTTGTACTATAAATATTATTTGCTGCACAATATGTGCCACATTATTAAACACTGCAGAGTTTTTTTTGGTCTTATTTCTCCATAGCATTCTCCAAACTGCTGTGCTAGGCATCACAAACCACTGTTTTTATGCTGTACAGATTGTGGTGGGCGGCACGAAGAAATCAGTCGTCTTGCAGAATTTGAACTCTCTGACTGAATACGAGATTGCTGTGTTCGCTGTGTACCGCAGCGCAGCAAGTGACGCTCTGAGAGGCAGCGAGATCACGCGTGAGTCATACTCTAAACTTGCCACAACCAACATTGACTACAGAACATTTCATATCACATGCGTTACAGCCTCGTGTCCTTCAACACCATTTCACTGTAAAACAGTAATTACCCACAAACTACATGCCTATTTCTTTTTCCTAAATGCCCTTTACTGTAATTCTTTCATCACCTTCTAATATGCAATATGTTTATTTCCTAACCACTACTTTAGAGCAGACGCATGTCAGTCAACTCAAGAACACAGGACTGAAGTCTGCAGTATTTAGTGGTTGATTAGGATGTTTAAAGTCTTTTAGGTTTCTGGTGGAATTTAGAGTTATGCTAAAGACTATTCATGTGTGCTTGTTCCAGAATTAAAACATTTTCTGCTTATCTCACACTCCATCAAAGTCACACTCTTCCCAGAATCCAACTCAGAACACACTTCTGATCTTTGCAAATCTTTTACACACACATCCAAAACGGAAAAAAAAAACAAAAAAACACTCAAGATACTGTACACATACACTGCAAACAAATAGTTTTCATAATCAGTATTTTTCCAGTAAAACAAGATTTAAATGAGAAGCTAAATTGTGTTAGATATTAAAACGTGTTTTCTGAGATGTAATTTGGATTTAAAACAGACCAAATAAAAATGTAATAATGTAAATGAAATGTAATGTAAATGTTTTTACATTTTAACTTTAACATTTATTAACACTTTCTAAAGCATTATTTTTATTAAAAATATTATGAATTATAAATTATTCTTTAAAAAATATTAAAATTGTATTAAAAATGCATTTCCTTATTAAAAATGTTTCAATTTTAAATTAAATATATATTGTTTAATTACATTCTTGTAGTCTTAATATCTTATACAACTTTGCTTGCACTTACATATAAATTAATTACAAATTTAAATCTTAAATCTTAGATTTTTCCCCCTGACAATAATTAAGAATTATAAATTATTATTATACATTTTTCTCACATGCATTTATCTTGTTTTCTGTACTTTTACTGTAAAATAAGACAAAAATATGGATTTATAAAATGATTGCAATGTACACACTCACTCACATGCAAACACAAAAAAACACTGTCTGTCTGTGTTAAGTATGGATGTCTAATTTGTATTTATGTGTGTATCTCAGTGGCTCTGCCAACAGTGAGTGATCTCAAGGTGTACGATGTGACAGACAACAGCATGAGAGCCCGCTGGAGGGATGCAGAAGGGGCTTCTGGGTACATGATCCTTTACGCTCCACTGAGCAGTGAGACTACAGATGAAAGAGAGGTGAGGCTGCAAATTGTCTTTGTGAGTGTGCCTGTCTGTGTTTGAGTAAACGTTAAGCCCGCGCCGGCATTATGACACTTCCACCAAAATAGTAGCTTTGCTGTTACACTCTTTTCATGGGAGCTGTAGAAGAAGAATAGCATTCATCATGTTTGAGTTCCCTTGGTTGCACTTCGATCTGTGTTTCAGCAGCCATTATGCTGCTCTAAAGGTGTTGCCATTGTTTTTGGGATACAGCTAAAGGTGGATGAGTCGGTGACTGATGTGGAACTGACTGGATTGATTCCTGACTCAGAGTACACCGTTACGGTCTATGCTATGTTCGGAGAGGAGGCCAGTGATCCCGCTACTGTTCAGGAGACCACCAGTGAGTGTCCAGGCCATTCTGTTTTAAATTTAAACATGCAATCAGTTTTCTTTCCAACTCTTATTTGTACAATGTCCAGTGTTTAATGGTTCTGTTTTGAATTCAATTCAGAATAATGCACATTAATAAACACAATAATGTGTTTAAATGTGCTCCAAGTAATAGGGCTGGGCTGTGTAGATAAAATAGTTCAATATTTTCAGTTTTTAAATAATATTTGAACTATATCTCAAATGGCTTTTTTTTTTCCCCAATGAAATCAAACCTGGTTTCAACCAAGTTATGTAAAACCAAAAATGTTTAATGCAATATTAAAATTCTGTTAAGATGTACATTTTATATGTTCACACAACATTTTAATTTACACTATTGTTAAAACATTTGGGGTGTTTAGAGTTATTTGACATCTTTGAAATACAGTAAATATTTTATGCTCACAAAGCCTATTTTTATTTGGTCAAAATGCAGTAAAAACAGTAATATTGTGAAATATCAGTGCAGTTTTAAATAACAGTAAAGTATAATTGATGTGATGGCAAAGCTGAATTTTCAGCATTAATTTCTCCAGTTGAATCTGTCCTTGCTGAATAAAAGGGGAAAAAATCCTACTCTCCTTAAACTTGAATGACAGTGTACTATATGAAAAATATAACTCACTGAAACTGGCTATTTGAACAGTTTCATTAAAATGAATAAAAATTACCAGCTGCAGATTTAAATTAAAGATGTTACCTTGTCTTAACGCTCTCATTCTCATGAGTTGCAAATTGCAAGACAAGGATGCAATGTGTTTTTTGGAAAATTAATGAACTGTGTTAAAAAGTGCATTAAAATCATTGTGACTTCAATGTTGCAACAATGTCACTTAATATTCAATAAGTGTCAGTGACTGATCATTAGTCCCTGTCTTCCTGCAGTGTCCCTGAGACCTCCACGTAACCTGCGGGTCACTGAAGTTGACCACAGCTCTGTGCGACTCAACTGGGACGCAGCGTCCAGTAAGGTTAAGGGCTACCGTGTCATGTATATGAAGACAGATGGTGTCCAGACCAGTGAGGTGATCACTACATGACACGCACTCGTTTCTCTATTAAACAAACATGTACTCATTCACTCTCACACTCTGTTAATCAGATAAATAGTACATAAAATTATTCAAATATATATTAGTAAATTAGTACTTTAATTTAAGTATAAATAATTACAAGTTCCTGCATTATGTTTGCTGAATGAAATCCAATGCTTGTTTCCTACTAATTTTGGGGTGCTGATTCCAAAAATAGTGCCTTTTTGCTCTAGCACATCATACTGTCTCACAAAATATGATGTGCATTTTGACAACCATTTGCTTTTGACAACCATTTGTGAGGTTAAAGGGGTCATATGATGCGATTTCAAGTTTTCCTTTCTCTTGCACCGTCACACATCATTCTTCACACCGGAACAAACGACCTCAGTGCTAGAAAGACAGATGTCACTAAAGCCCTGCCCAACGTGGTGAGAACAGCTAGCAGGATCTACCCCAGAGCCAAAATCATCATCTCGACCCTTCTACCTCGCAGAGACGTGCCACAAAAAACCATAAATCAATCAATGCGGAGATAGCTGGAATCTGTGCTTCAATGACGAATGTCCACATAGCTGACCATCAGCGCATCACCCATGAGCATCTGTATGACCACATCCACATTCATCGAGAGGGCATGAGACTGTTTGCAAAGAGCATCAAGGAGACAGCCCTGAGAAGCCCTCAGAAGACACTCTGTGATCCCGAGGAGAGGGTAAGTCAGCATATTCTGTTACACCAAATACACAAAATAATGATCTTTAAAAAAGCATCATATGACCCCTTTAAGAAGTCTTGTATTATCCCTTAATCACCAGAAAAATTACAGCATGATTCTTATCTTCCTCTGAGCCAGGTTATAACTAGGCGTATTTGTTCAATTCTTAACCAATTTTTACATACAGTATATGACATTATAATATGCCTAATCCTGATTTCAAGGTTAGAATTATGGCCAGCGACAGAGAAAAATGTAAACATGACAGATGTTTTCTGCTACATCTGTAGGTGTTTTACAACATCCAAACAGTGACAGAAAATTACAGATCTTGCGAAAAAAACATTTTTTTTAAATCTAAAGTTCTTTGACATTAAATGGAGTATTTAACATATTTTCCCACTGTTGTGCAAATTTTAAGTTAAATGATACATTTTGAATATTTCTTTTTGCCATTTGCCTTTTGACTGCTTTTGCTATTTTACAGAGGTCCTATTATGCTTTTTCACTTTTTTCAACTTTAGTTAGTCTGTAATGTTGCTGTTTGAGCATAAAAAAGATCTGCAGTTACAAAGCTCAAATCCACTTCAAACTATTCGAGCCGTTCATGCCAGACTGGGGAGAGAGGTGTTGTAATAATGTAAAATATGTGAAAAATAATGTGTTTATTCATTTCAACCTAGTATGAGAGCCTGTTCTAGTACACCACCAAAACAAAACCAAGACTTTGTAAAAGAGCATAATAGGACCCCTTTAATAAGTAAATTAAAGCTGATACTTACATATGTCATTTGAAAAATCTTTTTTATATTTTTTAACTCAGCATCATCAAATTAAGTAATATTAGGCCTTTTTGTAAATCAACTGATTTTTTTTTTCAAGATGCAGGGTTGTGTTGTTATTGTAATTATACGAATATCCAAATTATTTAAATTGTAATTATTAATCCAAATATTATTGATCACTTTAATTACTTTATAAATAATTGAATGAAGATAAATGCAGTATGCATTATTTTTCTTCTCTCCAGGTGGATTTGGGTCCAGTCACCAATGTGTACCTGAAGAACCTGTCACCCTTAACAGAGTACACCGTTGCAGTTTTTGCTCTCTACGATGCCGGCCAATCAGAGGCACTCAGTGGTGGATTCACAACAAGTGAGACTGTTTGATCCTTGCCAATGAACTACTTAAAAATGTTTAAACGGGTGAATTCAGTTATACTGTTTTGTTGGTTGTATTAAGAATGCTAGCTAGGCCTGTGCAAATAATCAAATGCAATTGTCATGTGCATCTCGTCAGTAAAGCCGGTTCTGTGATTAGTAGTAAATCTCCAGCACATGCTTTCAGATGGAGTGGCATTTACTACACAGAGCCGTTGTTCACTGACAAGCTACGCAATATCGCGTTCATTATCGGCAATGAATCGCCTGCGGTTATGTAGCTTGTCAGTGAACTATGGCTGTGTGTAGTAAATGCCGCTCCATCTGAAAGCATGTGCTGGAGATTTACTACTAATCACAGAACCAGACAATCACATTTGATTATTTGCACAGCCCTAATGCCAGCATATGTTGGGCGGTGGGTGTGGATTTCTGCAAATTATTTTTCCAAGCACAGAACAGACAGGGCCCATTGGTATTCATTATCATGAGCCCGGCAAAAACAAATATTGTCTGCTTGCCGCAATGCTGATTTAACATGTACATGTATGTGCATATTTTGTCGTATTTTCCTCCTCCAACAGAATTTACAATATCCGCTGCACACAGAGTCTGCAATTTACTCCAGCTGGAAAGCAGGAATGGATGCTTTCTCTGTCCTGGACAAAGCATCACTTTCTAGGCAGGCTGTTACATTCAGTAATCACTGATTGGCTGCTGGAATCTATAATAGATCTGGGCCTTCATTTCCTGAGTTTCATTGTTCTGTGGGTGTCCTGACATTGTCATTGTAGCAATCAGGTTATGTGGTGAAATTTCTAGGGAATACATTTGAATTTAAAAGTGATTGTCATGGTAAATGCTGGTTGCTCTGTGGAAAGTGGAAATGAGAATGTTCAGGAATTCATTCACCAAATCACATTAAATAGTTTAAAAGATTAGTTCACCCAAAAATGAACATTATGTCATCATTTACTCGACTTCATGTCATGTCAAAGCCTAATAGCTTTCATCTGTCGAACACAAAAGGAGAAATGGTCAAAGGAACAGACCGAAATGAATGCCACATTGGAGTAATAAAAATATATTTAATTCCAAATATATTCTATGAAAACAACCTTTACTATTTTACACAAATTTTCAAGTATATCTATATTGTTGCAAGGATTTTTACATATTTTACTGGAACACAAGATAAAATACTGAAATGATTATTATTACTATTAACAGTTAACTACTGTTTTAGTATGTAAACAATTTTAAACATTATTGTCCATTGTTGTGATCAAACTAATTATAGTTTAGTCAAGGATCTTCGTTTGCATAACCGTGTCTGATTCTATCTCATTCAGAGCTTGTGCCGGCCCCGTTCAGCCTGATGACATCAGAGGTGACCTCAGAGAGTTTCCGGGTCAGCTGGTCACATCCTGCCAGGGATATGGTGCTCTATAAGATGAACTGGTCACCCACTGAAGGAGGAGAAGAGAGAGAGGTCAGTCAATTACCAGTACAATGATTAGTGATGTGCTACAGCTAGAGGGTACTTGGCTTTGCTTTTTTATTTTATTTTATTTCTTTATTTTTTAAATTTATTTATAATATAATATAAAACAAAAGTTTGGGGTCAGTTAGATTTTCTTTTTAAATTATTACTTATTCAGCAAGGATGTATTTAATTGATCAAAAGTGACATTAAAAACTTTAACATTATTATAAAATATATTTAAAATAAATGCTGTTTTATTTGAACATTCTATTTATCAAATAATCCTGAATATATCTGCTTTCAGCATTAATAAAAAAAAAGAAATGATGCTTGATTGCCAAATCAGTATATTATTATTTTTTCCTTCCCAGGCATAAATTACATTTTAAAATATACTAAAATAGAAAACATTTCTTTTAAATTTTAATAATAATTCATAATATTACTGTACTTCAATATTTCTGTATTAAATGCAGACTCGGTCAGCATAAAAGGCTTCTTAAACAAACATTAAAAAACTTTTTGAGCTATAATATAATATAATATAATATAATATAATATAATATAAAAATGTATAATAAGTCTGTTTCATGCTTATAAGAACTCTTAAAAAAAGAAATACATATATAAATCTGTTGGTCACTGGCAAAACATTTACTATAACATAATGAAATATTTTTGATGTGGCTTGCAAAAGCATTTTGTCTGTCAGTGGAGACCAATGCTTTTTGGCAGTAGGATGGTGGAGTCTTGCCATCTTCCAGCAGCAGGGGCACATGCTAACCAGCCAAACCCTGAACCCTTGAATTCTCTTGTTTCTCTTTGACTTTTCTACAGTGTTTCTCAATTGTGACTTACTTGCTGTTTTCAACATCCATTGCTAGATGTTAGTTTCAACAAACTATATATATGTTGAAAAATAGAAAGTGAAATATGAATTTTATGAGGTTCTTGAAAATGATTTATGAGTCAATCAATACTTTCTCCTAACCCAGAGCCTGGGGCCAACTGTTATTCTCTATTAGAAATGACCAGTCACTGGCACTCACAAACACAAAAACAACCAGCAGCATACTGAACACGTCCCATCACCTCTATCCCTAACACACGTGACCACAAACACAAGCTTGTGTGACGGAGAAAGTTTTTATTACTGGCCAGGAGTCAGTGCAGCTGTTTTTTATAGATAGCACTGCAGGTCGATATGTTTACCAAGAGCCACCAGAGCAGAAAATAATAAAATGCTGCGAGGCAAACTGGAATGTGGCTTGAGCTTCATGTCCTAGAGCAGAGGAGTCAGTCCAGAAACACATATTCACTCAAAGGGGTTTGCTGGGACGGCTCAGAGCTGACTGAGATCCAAAGATCTCCTGATAGCAGGCTTGCTTTTAAATGCATGTTCTTAGGCCCCGTGTCCACCAAAGTGTTTATTCCCGAGGTTAGCGTATTTTTTCAATTGTTTTCAAAGGGAACGCCACGTTTTTTTCTCGGTGCCGAGAGTTGAAGAATGTTCAACTTTGGATAAAATGCAGCGCTTATCACTATCACTTTTGAGTCAGCCGTCCAATCAGAGTGGAGGAGGGGCGGGACAAATGCCACTCCGACCAACTGTCACACATTCTGCTTGTACTACGACTAAACAACAATGGAGGAGATGTTAAAGGGGTCATATGATGCTGCTAAAAAGAACATTATTTTGTGTATTTGGTGTAATGAAATGTGTTTATGCGATTTAAAGTAAAAAAAACACATTATTTTCCACATACTGTACATTATTGTTTCTCCTCTATGCCCCGCCTTTTTGAAACGCGTCGATTTTTACAAAGCTCATTGGTCTGAAAAAGCGAGGTGTGCTGTGATTGGCCAGCTATCCAGTGCGTTGTGATTGGCCGAATACCTCAAGCGTGTGACGGAAATGTTACGCCCCTCACCATACTGTTGATGCCGTGTCCCGGCCGGAGCGACGACACAAAAACATTAAAACCCATTACAAACGAGGCATTTGTTGCATCCAGTGGGGACATAATTACTGATTATAATGACTTGTACTGTCTTTTTACGCGTTGCATTGCATCGTGCCGCGTAAACAGAAAACCCTGTCTGCATTTGTGATCAGAGAAATGACAAACAACAAGTGCTACTCCACACTGCCCAAAACTCGCGTTTGAATCATCAGTGGCAAATGATAGAAGAAAACGTACTTACGTGAGTCAGAACTGCCGGCATTTGAAACAGTCCTCCATAAAATGTGCCGGCGATCCACAGCACTAAGTTGAAGTATTCCCTCAGCGACCAGCACAGATCAGCTCTAGGCATGACGAAGCGGTATAAAGAATATCGCTTTGGATTTGAGACTTTAGTCTTTACAGATTTACAGATCTTCTTTATGCACCAAGAGCTTGTAACACTCCAAAGAGAAAGGAAAAAATGAAATCGCATCATATGACCCCTTTAATATTGCTTGTCTCTGAGTATTCATGTCTGTACTAGAAAGGATTCCCGAACTGCTACGAATATTCATATGAACAATAATTCTTACAATATTTCATTCAAGATGCGTCTGCCACATTACTTCTGCTGTTATTCAGTATCATAGCAACCACAGTGTCTCAAAAAAAAAAACGCTGCTCTGCAGAAACGCTCTCAAGCGCTCACAGCTGGACGTTTTCAGCAGAGCGCCTGGCATTTTCAGCTGGCTAAAAACGCTTTGATGGACATGCAGCCTTATTGTTGGCATGGCGTAGGTGCTTTGCTGAGCAGCCACCAACATTTATACCAGAGAAAACGTGATGTTACTGAATCTGTTGCAGCTACTATCACTTTTTCTGGACAGAAAATACTGTTGACTTATGTTCTGCACAATGACGAACAAAAATTTAGTAAAAATATCCCCTCTCCATTTATAAATGCCATCTGTCAAGCAGACTGTAGTTACGACATAAAATCATAAGAAAATGATTTGCCAGTCTACACCTCAGCATCCTCTCGATGATGACTGTGGTGGGCCTCTTCATCAGAACCATCACTCTTGGATCTTGGCTGAAATAGATGTGGCCTTGCTCCAGAAGGTTCATCACCTTCCGACACTTGGCGATAAATCTTTTCAACTGACTGTAAAGTATCTTCTTTGCTGTCAAGTGTGGTTTGTCTGGTCTGTAACATAATTTACAAGCTATTTTTAAAAAGTGGTGTTGTCCCATGCATTCCAAAATATCTGATTTGAATTAACTCTCTAACAACGTGTTGATGATTACCAAACAAGAGGTTTAATCAGGCTTACCTAATCTCAGCACTATTCAAATGTTATTATAACTCTGGTTTATACTGTAACTGGGTGCTTTCGTGTTTGTGTGTTGTATAGATGATGCTGGATGGAGCTGTGGACTCATATGTGATTCAAAACCTGAGTCCTTTTACAGAGTATAAGGTGTCACTGTCAGCCATCTATAAAGACGAAACGGAGAGCAGCGTTGTGGTTGTGCTCGAGAATACATGTAAGACCTGCAGTAATGTTGTTTAAATGTTTAACGCCAACCAGCTAATTCACATCATATCAAACTGACTAATTGTTTTTTTGTTTTGCTTTGCTTTGTTTTTGTTTTTTGTTTGTTTGTTTTTTGTCCCTTTGTTGTTGATTTTTTTTTTTTTTTGCTTTATTTTGCTTTTTGCTTTGATTTTGATTTTGATTTTTTGTTTGTTTTTTTGCTTTACTTTGTTTTTGTGCTTTGATTTTGTTTTGCTTTGCTTTTTTGTTTTGTGTTGCTTTGCTTTTTTTTGTATTGCAGTGGGCTGGACCACAGAAGTTCCCACCACTTTCCCCTCCACTACAGCATGTAAGAAAAATATGACTTTATCCTACTGAGATTTGAACATTGGATTGATGGATGGATTGATGGGTAGATTAAGTTGATCTGTATCATCTAGTTGTTCATCTGGGAGTGAGTAACCTGTGGGTGGATGAGGAGACCCCCTTCAGTATGCAAGTGAACTGGGAGGCGCTGGACTCAGACGTGGAGCAGTACAAAGTGACATATGTCAGTGCAGACCGCACAGAAGAGACAGTGAGTAAACATAACCACAGCACACAGACATCCATAACTAATGTTAATATAACAACACAAGAGCGAGCTCACTCTGCCATCATCATCTTCCTGTCTTCTAGAACAGTTTAGCTCCACTCTCTTCTCTGAATCAGAGTGCATAAAGAGGGCAACATACACTTGTCTTATTTGTGTCCCAGCGAGGCTGTTATTTCATAAAGCTACCTATATTGCTCTTGCGCTATAAAAATATAAGGGAAAAATGTATTACCTCTGTGCTGTTAGACTGCAGGCTGATCATATTCCTCTGGGTAAGTGAAGTTGAATGATGCAGCTCTGCTGCTTGTGTTATCTGTTGCAAGGACATGTCTTGCTCAAAGTGTCCTTTTTAAATGCATGTCCCTGTACTGGAACCCCCTTTGTCTTATACTACAGTGATTCCTGATGTGCAAAATCATATGGTGAGGAATCACAGGAGTGAATTAAAACACGGCCACTCTTCTGATGTGGGAATCTGCTGTTTTTGTGGCACTATAGGCTAACTTTGCTGCAACTTGATCTAGCACGGTTAAGATCTTTCATGGCGTAAAGTTTAATTCAAACTCTGTGTTGACTCGTCGCCCCTAACTGTACAGAATATTGACCTCTCCACAGTTGTAATTCTCGTGGAGAATCATTGGGGGGTCAAGCTATAAAGGAGATGGATAAGGGAGATGGGACTGGGAAAAGGAATTTCCATTATCTTTTCAAGTGCCATTTAGGTCACTGAGCAAAATGTGAGAAGAGGGAGAGAACATCTGAGAGAGTTAGTAAAGGAGAACACGCCTCATTTGAGGGAAAGTTCCAGCAAAGTTTATAAAGTGAGACGATCTCCTGCATATAGGTTTCAGCACCACGGATTGGTGGACAGCTCCGCTAATGAGAGTTGTTCTGCAGCAGGACACGGCACAGCAAAAACAGGTCTGAAACAGCAGGTGGTCAAACTCTACCTTCTTGACCATGGAGAACCACACCTGACTGATCAAAGGAAGTTAGAATTGTACATAATTTTTTGCACATAGTACCGTTCAAAAGTTTGCAGTCAATCTGATAAAAAAAAAAAAAAAAGAAGTTAATATTTTTATTCAGCAAAGATGAAATTGATCAAAGTATTAAAATAGAAAATAATAAAATTAAATAGTTATTTTGAATTGTAATATTTCACAATATTATTGGTTTTACTGTATTTTTTGCGTAAATAAATTCATCATTGGTGAACAAAACCATGATTTTGTGTGTGTGCGTGCGTGTGATTAATGGTGTGTCTGTGGTGAATGACTGCAGTGATTGGATGCTGACTACAGAGCTGAGTGCTGGCTTTCTTGATTTTCATCCAGCTCCCTAAAGTTCAGTACACAGATTTCTAGTCTTTTGGCTTATCTCAGAGTAGCTTTCATGAGAGCTGATCAAACACTCAAATATTTGGAATTGTTTCTCTATACTGTTTGACATTTTCTTTATCCTTGACAATCACTCCTTACACTAGCAGTTATTGCTCTCCTCCTCCTAAATACCATGCTGTGTGAAAGCAAGTGCACCTCATGAAAAATATAATGCTTTTTTGGAAAAAGTTAGTACAAACGTCTCGGTTACGTATGGTAACACTCGTTCCCTGAAGGAGGGAACGGAGACGTCACGTCGGATGACCGACGAATTGGGATCTTGCTTAGAG